TTTCTTCTTTACAAGTCGAAGCACTTGATCATCACCATGCCATCATCATCATCATGCTATGATCTTTATTTGCTTCACCACTTGGAGTGTGCTACCTATCTCATGATCACTTGATAAACTAGGTTAGCACTTAGGGTTTCATCAATTCACCAAAACAAACTAGAGCTTTCACCCAGATGGTGGATAGGTGGTGCGACTCCGTGTGGGAGGAGAATCACAACGCTTGCCGGGAGTGGCATTTGCTGATGTCAGGTGCACCACACCATCAAGGGAACCTCAACCTCTCAGAATATGTGGCTAGATGGGTATGCGAATTCATTTCTTTATTCTAATGCTCAATTTTGTATAATTTCTAATCATATTGCTTTTTTTGCAGTCGGCGGCATATGGTGGCGAGCCTTGCTCCCAGTTCATGGTATATGCTTTGGCCCACAAGGGAAAGGCGATGGCCGACGTCGCCTACAACCCAGAGGACCCACCCTCGACATACAACAATGAGTCCATCCACAGCCGCCTCGATGGATACACATCGAAGGCAAGGGTGGTTTATGGCCCAGAGTATGATCCGAGCGCCCATGACCTTGATGGAGAAGTGGTCATAAGGGCGGGAGGAGGCAAGAAGGATGGCCGATTCAGGATTGGCGACGACACAATCAACACGGCCAATACTCCCACTCTATCCTAGATTCAAGCACGAAGCACCAGTTCTAGCCCGGCGATACGCCCACAGCTGGACTCTACACGATTCCAGATGAACGCACTCTAGGTTATTTCTGTTTTATACATCGTTCATTGATTTTTACATACTTTTGCATTGCATTGTAACATTGGGATGAAATATTGTAGGCTCAGCTGGAATAAGAAACGAGGCGCCGAGAGGAGCTAGAGGCGAGGATGGAGGCAGAGCGGCAGAGGGCGGAGGCAGAATGGCAGAGGATGGAGGCAGAGCAGCTGCAGATGTTTGAATATATGAGGGGTGTTTACGCTACAATCGGTTAACCTCCACCACCGATGCCAGTCCTTCCTCCTCAACCTGCTCCAAATACTGTTTCAGGCACTGTGAGTCACTTTACAACCTTATAATCACCGTTTCTAGTTTATGCAGAATCAATCTTACAAAGATGCCTAGACACTAGAAACTTAGTGACTAATGCTATATGTTTGTTACCAACTATTACTTAAGCAATCATACTAGAGCACAATGCAACTGAGAAGATATTGCTGATAGTTGCAAGAGTTATACTAGTTAGGCAGCAGAGAGACCATACGTGTTGTTCAATCTTGTCTCACACATGCAATCTCTTCTCCTTTGTGCAGAATCAATCGGCGGCATCGAATGAGTCCCACTACCCAGCGTGGTCGCAGTGGAACCCGTGGCCTAAGTGACTACTTGTGACTTTATTTGCATTTGCATTTGTGGATTACCTGTGACTACTTGTGACTACTTGTGGTTGTGAATGAACCTACTAGTGATTCTGAAGTTTATTTGCATTTATATGTTGTCGATATATCTATATGAACTGCCTGTGATGCTTATTGTAAACTATGTATGATGCCTGTAATGTTTATTTGAGTGGGGTATGTTATACATGACCGAACAATAAAAACAGAAAATATATGGTTGCTTTGTCGAGTGTTACACTCGGCAAAGAAGCCTTTTGTCGAGTGCCAGGGTAAAAACACTCGGCAAAGCGGACACGTGGCAAATTTCTGTGCATTCTGGGACTAAAATGGCTTCTTTGCCGAGTGTCTGTGCTGTGACACTCGGCAAAGAAGCCAATATTTGTATGTTCTGGGCCAGTCTTTGCCGAGTGTCCGGTATTTGACACTCGGCAAAGAAGGCAGGTTTGTCGAGTGCCCGAGATTTGACACTCGGCAAACCAGCCAGGTTTGCCGAGTGTCTGGGAGTTGAGGCAGGTTTGCCGAGTGTTAGGTCCGGAACACTCGGCAAACGTGCCGTGACCGTCTCGACGCTATCACGTTGCTTTTTTTCGTCGAGCGTCGGTTTTAGCTCTCGGCAAAGTATTTGCCGAGTGCCCGATAGAAAACACTCGGCAAAGAGACATTTGTCGGCACTGTAGATATCGTGTGTTGTTTGCCGAGTGTTACGCTCGGCAAAGCCTTTGCCGAGTGCCTGTGGCACAAGGCAAAGCCACTGTTTCCGGTAGTGCATATGCTATGCACAGCAGGTATTAGCTAGATATATATAGCATGTACATGACCAATCGATTCATTTGTTCCTTCATTCGCGGATCTTATATTATGAGCGTACATGGGTCAAATGATTAGGGCATTTGTGCATTATGCATACATATTCATATTGAGTTGATCTCCAATGAGGTGACTGGAAAGTACATCTGGGGAAAGACCACCGGTGAAATAAAGAAATTTGGTCAATGCCTGCGTGTGTTGTAGGGGGGGCATCAATAAACCACTAGAACACAATTAGATGAACATTATTCTTTACTATACAAAAGTGATCCGGTTCATATAGTGAAGCAAACACTCTTTTGATGGACTATGGCATATATGCTTCACGACGATACCAGACTTTGTTGTTTGATCTTGTGGACAAGTGATTGACATATATTCCTTGGCGGTTTACTTCAACCTCCAAGGAATATATGTTTCCTTGAGAGTTCAGTAGCACTGCTAAGAAAACTGCAATTTCCTTGGCGGTTTGATTTTGGCACTCAAGAAAATCCTTGGCCCTCAAGGTAATTCTAGATTCTAGTAGCGAGTTGCATTCTTTTTGGGACAGAGGTAGTACTACTCAATGGTACCATGTTTCCTATATATGGAATATGTTATGTACTCTTTCTTAGGTTAACCCTCTCCAAAAATTTTGGATATATAATAATTCAACTTTTTGAATACACCTTAGAGTATCTCAAAGGAGGATAACATGATCATACAAGATTTAATGAGAACTATAGTCTCACTCTCTCCATATGACAAATGTTTTCATTTCCAAGAGTCAGGTTTCTTTTGGAGCCTATTTTCCACCTTCTCTCTGATCTTTGTTAGAAAGGCATATAGAGTAATTGGTAACTACTCCCTCCATTTCAAATTGTGAGTGTCGTTTTGACATTTCTAATACATAACTTTTGCTATGCACTTAGACATAGACCATGCTTAGTTCCATTTGACATGGCAAAAGATTAGCCCCTAAAGTTTTGCTGCTAAACTTTAGTCCTACTTGAGGTGTTTAGATCCATGACAAAAGTTTAGTCCTCTATAAAAAAAATTACTGATTTGCCCCTATGTCCCCTTCCTCCCTACCCTCCCAACCGCACGCTCGGCGACGATGACAGCCAGCACCGAGGGGTGAGGCCAGCCCACGGCACGGCGGACAGCGGCGGGGAGCTGAAGCGACAGACGTCAGCAGTGCTCAAGGGGGAGACGCTCGCCGCAACCGCGAGATCCAGATGCTCTGCGCCGAGATCCAGAGGAGGAGGAGGGCGCGGGGGAGGAGAGGAAGCCGCTGAGATCCAGGGGAGGAGGAGGGTGAGAGGGAGGAGATGATGCCGCCGCCGGTGGAGGAGGCCGCACAGGGGGAGGAGGCCGCACCGGCCGGGGTGAAGGGAGGGAGCGCCGCCGAGGGGCTGCGGAAGGCGTCGCGCGATCGCGGGTGGGACGGGCGCGGGTGGGTGGGGGTATGAGGTGTCCTTCATGCACCCAAGGCGTCTTAGCCCAGTTTTGCACCTCTTGAGGTGTAAATGGACTAAACTTTAGCCCCCCTCTTTTGCTCACTTTTAGCCCAGGTGTTTAGATCCATTTGTCCAAAACATGGGCTAAAAGTGTTGGGCAAAAGTTTTGCCAAAGGAAATAAACAGAACCATAGTGTGTGATGTGTCTAAGTGCATAGCAAAATTAGTTATGTATCTAAAAATGTCAAAACATTTTATAATTTGGAATGGAGAGAGTAACATTTATCACAACTGAATGAATATTACGGAGTATAATCGAGTGACATGAAACATTGATGAGCTATATATGCATTATAAGTTTATCCATGAACTTCTATATATGTCTCACAAGATGACTTAATTTGCTCAGCAAGGATTGGTCGATTAGTAGCATTAGTTGATGGAGATCCAAATAAGGCCTTGTATTAGGGCAATGTAGATGTATAGGGCCTTGTTTAGATAGCGTTTAGGAATCAATATTTGACATTGTAGTATTTTCGTTTGTATCTAACAATTATTGTCCAATTATATGACCTAACTAGGTTTAAAAGATCCGTCTCATAATTTACAATCAAACTGTGTAATTAGTTTTTTTTTTATCTATATTTAATACTCAATGTATGTGTTCAAAAATTTGATGTGATGAAAAAAGAGTGAAAAAACTTACAACCTAAACAAGGTCTAGATATTCTAAAATGAATGGGCACGGTACCAGCCTGGTGATGCTGAGCTGGTGAGCTGCCTGAGCACCGGCATCCGATCCACCAGCCTGCAGGCACGTGTGGTGGCACGGCTACTCAAGCGCAAGCGCACATAGCCCTACGTGCAGTGCCAGCCGCACAGGCTCCGAACGACGCAGCACGACTCTCCGCGCAATCCCACTGACTGGCGACTGCGTGCTCTGCCCACTGGTCCGCGCGCGATCTCTAGGCTAGCACGCATCTTCTCTGTCAGGTCAGGTCTTCTGAACTAGAGACAGCTATGCTACATAGCCCGCCACCATTATATTCCGTGTGCGGCTTGTTGAGACCCCATCACCTTCACCTCACCTCACAGAGACGCAGAGGAGATCGGAATTCGGAAGGGGAGGAGAGAGTCGCCCACCACCACCACACCACCAGCAGCAGCAATCTCCCTGCTGCTCGAACAAGCAGTGTGTTATTATAGCTAGGCTGCGGCTGCACATGCACTGTGCTGTGCTGGTCAACAATACACTCTCTTTCCACCAGTACAGTCACGAAGAAGTACTCCAGCAGAGTAGCAGCAGCAGCAGTATTATAGCCACCACCACCGATCGGTCGACCGGAGACGATGCAGCCGGCTTTCTCCGCCGCGCTGCTCGCCGCCTTCCTCGTCGTGCTGGCTTATTCAGCCGTGAGCTGCCGCGGTCAGCTAGCCAACAACTACTACGCCGGCAAGTGCGGCAACTTCAGCGTGGAGGCCATCATCCACGACGCCGTCAAGGCCCGCCTCGCGTGGGATAAGAGAATGGTCGCCGGCCTCCTCCACCTGCAGTTCCACGACTGCTTCGTCGCCGTACGCAAACACCATCATGCTGCTAGCTAGCTAGCTAGCTTTCTTCAATATCTCGTATCATCTATCGATCGATCCATCAATTTCATTATTATTGATTTATTTGTTGTTGAATATATGAAATGAAGGGGTGCGACGCGTCGATCCTGCTGGACGGGCCCAATACGGAGAAGACGGCACCGGAGAACAGTGGCATCTTCGGTTACGACTTCATCGACGACGTCAAGACGGCGCTCGAGAGAGTATGCCCCGGCGTCGTCTCCTGCGCTGACATCATCATCGCCGCAACAAGGGACGCCGTTGGTATGGTGAGTCACCCTGCCCCATTGTATGCTACACGATCGAGCTGAACAAGCAACAATGCCGATTTTTTTTTTTTGAAGAAAGCAACAATGCAGATTGATTTTCTTTTTGAGGAATCGCAATGTCGAACTGAATGACGATGATTGACTTCATTTGCTCCTTTGGCATATGATGATTTATCTTTTGGTTTTGCTAAGAGCAGACAATGGTTTCAATTTGTAATTATTCATTACTAGCTAGGCAGGCTACATCACATTGTTAATCCTTTTGTTGTCTTACTAGCTACTTACTATTTACAAAGTGATGATTTATTTGCATTTTAACAAAGTATTAATCTGCGTGTACAACAATGCAATGCAAGTCCAGTGCGGAGGGCCGAGCTACCAAGTGCAACTGGGCAGAAGGGACGGCATGGTGTCACAAGCGTCAATGGCGAGCATTCTGCCGGGCCCCAACGTCGATGTCCCCACTGCTATCGATCTATTCGGACGGAAGGGCATCAACGCCTTCGAGATGGTCAGCCTGATGGGTACGTCGCCGCCTATATGTTGCAATTTTATTTTAATGCAGAAAATGAGACATAAAAAGTTAGCGAAAGATCAATATATACGTACGTACCAGTTTTACTAGCGAGTACAACTTGTGTTGAAAGTTTTACCATGACCCACGTGCATGCATGTCCTCTCTTCGGTAACATGAAGCAGACTGGTTTTACTAAATAAATTAGCCTCTTTTGACCTAGAACACAGCTATAAGCGTATTGATTCGGGGTGCAGATATCAAGCAGAGCTCAACACATGGAATATCACGTACACGGTACACCAGTGTTGTGTTGGCACATAAAATAAGCACTTCGTATACTTAGATATGCGTTAGTTTAATGAGCTAGTTTGCTGGTCTAACGTTATACTAGTACCACTATATATTATTGTTTGTGATTGGTACAGATATATCATATTTATTACGTTATTTAATTTCCCTTTCCATATGTATCCCCATGCATGATGATCTCACTACCCAGCTCCTCATCAAACCGTAAATCATAATAAGTAATTGCTGAATGAGTTATCGAGGTCTCAGACTTAGAGCACACAGGTAATAAATGAGTTACCAAAGAGTAAGAATCAAAGCTAATCACGCCCGACACACAAACTACTACTCTTTCTAAAGAGTTTGTTTTAAGTCAAATATTTTAAACTTTAACTATAAATAAAAATTCTTTTGGGTTAAGTTTGAAAATATAAAAGTAATGTAAATAGATTTATCTCGAAATATAATTTTATAAAAGTATATATTAACTATATTTATAAATAAAATTAGTTATTAAAATTATTTTTATAGACCGTGTCAATATTGAAAACGACTTTATTTAGGACAGAGTATAGCCATTAATACAATGCAACTGCATCTTTAAAATAAACTATACTAACAGTTTTAAGCGCCAGTAGTTTTTTCTTACAAATAATCCGGCCCTGTCTATTCCTTTTCTTGCAGGCGCGCACACGGTGGGGGTGACACACTGCTCCGTGATCCACGACCGGCTGTTCAACTACAATGGCTCCGGCTCGCCGGACCCGGCCATGGACCCTATGTACGTGTGGATCCTGACGACGTTCGCGTGCCCTAAGGGCCAGGCCTACGACAACATCGTCTACCTGGACGACCCCTCCAGCATCCTCCTCGTCGACAAGAGCTACTACTCCCAGATCATGAAGCGCCACGGCGTGCTGTCCGTGGACCAGGCTCTCGGCGACAACAACGCCACCGCGTGGATGGTGAACTTCCTCGCCACCACCGACTTCTTCCCCTCCATGTTCAGCCACGCGCTCAACAAGCTTGCCGCGCTCGACGTCCTGACCGGCACCGCCGGCGAGATCAGGACAAACTGCCGGAGGACCAACTGATGGATCGATCTGCTGGCAATCAATTAATTGATGCACAAAACGAGGTTAATTATTACCAGCAGCTAGCTAGGAGTAGCTAGCTAGACGAGCAGCTGCTGCGAGAAACAGAGAAAGAAAAAAGAAGAGAAGAGAAAGCATATACACGCGGCCGGCGACCAATGGATCGATGACTGAGGGAGCATTGCCATCAGTGATATAGCATGTGGTTTTACCATAGTTAATTTGAGTAAAGATTCAAACTACTGGAGTAGTACAAGGATCATTTTTTTTTGGTGTCTGTACGCTGATTCTTTTGTACGTGGCCGGTATAAAAATAAACGTTCCATGAATATACACCACTACTTTATACTATATATATATATATATATATATATATATATATATATATATATATATATATATATATATATATATATATATATATCAGTATTTCTCAAAGGAGAAATGTTTATTGCTTCGTTCTTCTTCTCAGTGAAGGAGGATAAATGATCTTTTCTAGCGCTGCAACAAAAAGAGAAATTAGTGCGGCCAAACAGTGAGGTCAAATGAACACCTAGCTTGGAGGGAGCGTCAGCTGCTAGACTATGACAAAGCAGGGTAGAGTGCATCCCGAGAGAGCATCGCCCCCTCTCCGGGATGCCGACGGCCAACGGGCTCTCCCTTCGTGCACATCTGGAATCTTCGATAGTAGATCAGGCCAGTTTTCTTTTTATTCCATCTTCCAAAGTCGCCTTGGACCAGCCACCGGCCCGCGGCATATGGCAGTTTTCTTTTTATTCCATCTTCCAAAGTCGCCTTGGACCAGCCACCGGCCCGCGGCATATGGCATCTGCTGCTACAGTAGCGGCGCACTGTGGAGTACTAGAGGGCAAGGGCGCAGTACTCCTTCAGTTCTAGCAGATTCGACTGTGGGGAAGTAGCAGCAGAGAATTTCTTCAGATCTGGAAGCCGCCCGACCCCTCCACTCCAGCTCCGATCTTGGAGGAACTCGCCTGAAGAGCGAAGTGTTCCAGAGCCCAGAGGAGGGCAGCGCTACCAGGAACGAACATGGTGGCCAGTGTTGTCGCCGGCTGCCGGACTTGCAGCTCGACGATGATCGGCAACCGCTGCGGACGCGGTCACGACGTCGCTCACGCTCACACACGCGCGAACACGAGGAGCACCTGAACGCAGTTATGCGCCGCCAAATGTTGCGGCCCTTTTCGGGTTTCTTTCTTTCCTTTATTACTCGGTGTTACACGATCTGAGATCCGAGATCCCCGCCACGCCCGCTCACACTGCGTCGTGCCCGCCTAATGCGCGAGAACGTTTCCTGCGGAGCGTGGCGACGGACTTCCTCGCCGCACCGTGAACGCAGCACGGTTCTGGCTCTACACCGTTCACAAAAATGCAGCTAGCTAAAACATGAATGGAAACATGCACTACCTATTTATAGGTATGGCAAATGCATAACATACACGGGATTGGATTAACTAACATTTCGCCCCCTAATCCCGATGCACGTCTATCACTCTCAGCTGCTGCCTTAGCTCGATGAACCTAACTCTGCCAAGTGCCTTCGTCAGGATATCAGCCAACTGGTTCTGGGTGCTTGCTTCGATCATGATGAATTGGATTCTTGCTCAAAGCTATGACAGACTTGTTGTCAACTAGGAGACTGACCTTTAGAGCTTGAATACCGAGTAGCTCTCCCAACAGTCGGCTAAGCCAAATTCCTTGACAAGCTGCATTTGCACTTGCAATATACTCAGCCTCACACGATGATAGAGCAACCACTCTTTGTTTCTGTGACACCCATGTGACCAAATTCATGCCCATGTCCTGTCATCTACGTCACCGGCCAAATCACTGTCACTAAAACCCAGAAGCTTGGGTTTAGTAGTTCCTGATCTCATATACCTGCAACCATAGTTCACAGTTCCAGCAAGATACCTCAGTATCTGCTTTACTGCAGCCCACTAACTTGCTCTTGGTGTCTCCATGTACCTGCTCACAATTCCAACATAGTAAGCAATGTCTGTTCACCAAGTATATATCTCAAACTCCCAATCACACTCCTGTACTTTGTTGCATCTACTGGAGGGGATTTGTCATTCTTGCTCAGCTTCAACTTGTTCTCCATGGGAACATGGCAAGGATTACATCCTTTCATATCAGCCTGCTCAAGAATTTTCAGAGTATAGGAACTCTGACAGAGAGTAGTTACTCCTTCCTTCTGATCCACCTGAATACCCAAGTAGTAGGATAGCAGACCAAGGTCACTCATACCGAAACTCTTCATCATTTGCTTCTTGAATACATCAATACGGTCTTGACTTGTCCCTGTGATAATCAGATCATCTACATACACACCCACTAGCAAAAAATCTTTACTCTCTGTACGTCTGTACACAGCATGCTCAAGTGGGTTTCTGACAAAACCAAGTTTCAACAGCTCTTTGTCTAGCCTTGCATTCCATGCCATGGGTGCCTGACACAGCCCATACAAAGCTTTCTTCAGTCTGAACACCTTTCCACTTCCCTTTGAAAGCATCTATGCCCTTTGTTGGGTTTCAATGATTAATGACGACACAGGATTATTGTGACTAACGTATGTTTTGCAGAGACAATTTGAGTTAGGTCACGATAATGGCAATTGTTTGAGCAATCAATGATTTTCATGCCCGTATCGATGGAAATCGTTTCAGTTTTCAAAGGATGGACAACAATGTTAAGGACGGACTAGTTCTAAGTGTCATTTGGTATTGGAGAGACACTTAGAGTAGTTTAGGACTTTGTTTTTCCTTTGGCCATACTATTAAGGGGGTATGAACTAGTAGCTTGACCTTGGTGAGTCTAATGTGTTAGGTGTGGTGCACACTTGTCTAACTTAGCACTAGGTAGCTCAGGTACAGCCCAAAGATTGATTGGAATCAAACTCATTCACAAAGGTTCTCGATTTGGAAGTGAATGGAGTGTTGATTTGTTGACCGGACACTGAAGAAGAAGGACCGGACGCTGAAGTGTAGAGTCTGGTCAGTAGGAAGTTGCGCAGCAGAGGGCAAAGCAATGATCGGACGTTGGCTGCTGGTTAGGACCGGACCCGCTGCTTCCTACAACTGTAGCAGTAGGTGTGGCAGAACTGCCCGAAATAACACACCTTCGGAGGTGCTCGTCTTCCACCAGACACTAAGCACCCCGAAAGCAAGCTACATCGGACGAGTTCCGTCGAGCACACCCCAAGGGAGAACTCAAATAATCCATATTTTACCTCTAGGATCCAATAATGAGAACGAGTGTACAATACTTAGTCCATTTCATACAACAAGAGTTCTTAGAAATACATTATTACAATGCCAAGTTCAGAGTATGGAATTTAAACAACGGAATTACAATAAATATCTAACGATAAGATACAAGGATCCGTCTGTGCCCACTAGAAGAATCCTCCACACAACAACTACTCCTCAAGCTGCATCTGCAACAGGGGTAAATAAACCCTGAGTACACAATGTACTCGCAAGACATACCCGACTAGTGGGAATAATTTTCCGACTCTAAAGGATATGATAAGCTTTATGGTTTGCTAGGTTTCCTTTTTGCAAAAAGCAATACTAGTAGTGAATCCTTATGTATGTGTTTTATTAGCAGTCATAATTAGTTTATTAGCTAACCATTCTATGTAAGCACCTGTTCTACTTTCAAACAAGAGATGAGCAATCAGATCCATTTCACCATCTTTCATGTTCTAGTTTTTACTACGGTGCTAGATTGTAGGCAAGTCGTACCGGATTACCCGGTGATTCGTGAATCTATGTGCCCAGCTGGGTACCCTGAAACACATGCCTCGCTTGTACCTCAGGCACAAGCTGGACCAACCCATCACTCTCCTATCAAGGGGTCCAGGTCCTTGTCCAAACTTGGACTCCAGGCCCCCACACCTGAGTCCCAGACTCAGTGTGGTGCTTAGACCTCCACTATCCCCGCCTCCAATCAGTCGGTCCGGAAAGAGCCGGAACCCATGACAAAAGAGCAACGAGCCTTCTCTGCTCCCATAAACAAGTATCTACTCAGGATAATAAGTCTTTGACCTGACTAGAATCCAATGCAACGACCGGTTCTTAACCGACACAGATAGGGAAAACAGTGTAAACAAGCTATGCCCCATTGGCCGCAGGACACAACCTCTTACACCCACCAATACCCGTATCATATCCCTACCTGATCTCCATTTCTTTTCACCATTTTTATGAGAGTGATAATAATAATCACCTATTGTGAGTAACGACAGGTTACTCACGCTACCGAAAAACCTAAGCATAGCAGCTACTCGACCTCAGCTCTATAATAATTTGCTCAAGTAAATCCGAGACTAGAGCAATATGGGCTAGCACCTCAGCATGGTTGAGAGACAAGGGTGCTTCTTCAACTTGATACGACTTCTGGCTCAAAGCATCAGCTACCACATTAGCTTTTCTAGGATGGTAATGAACCTCCAAATTATAATCCTTGATCAATTCCAACCATCTCCTTTGCCTCATATTTAACTCGGACTGAGTGAAAATATATTTGAGACTTTTGTGATCCATAAAAATATGAACCTTGTTTCCCAACAAATAATGTCTCCAAATTTTTAGAGTGTGCACCACAGCAGCTAGCTCTGAATCATGGGTGGGATAATTTACCTCGTGCCTTTTTAGCTGACGTGAAGCATAAGCTATCACATGCCCATCCTGCATAAGCACGCATCCCAATCTAGTCCTTGAGGCATCACAATACATATCAAATGGCTTATCAATATCAAGTTAGGCAAGAATAGGAGCAGAGGTAAGAAATTGCTTCAGAGCTTGGAAAGCTTCTTCACAAGCCGGACTCCATACAAACTTGACATCCTTCTGGAGCAGCTTTGTCATCGGCTGAGCTATTTTGAAAAAGTTAGTAATGAAGCGCTGATAATAACCAGCAAGACCAAGAAACTGATGAATCTGATGCACTAACATAGGAGATTTCTAATTTAACAC